GTCTACCTTTCCTGAGTATTGACCATTCAACACTCTAAAGTAGTATAATATTTATAAATCTCATTTCCATAAAAACATTGTTATTAAACAATTAGAAAACATATTTGCACTATAATCAAAGTAGTACCCCATAACCCCTTATAAAGCACATTTAATCTTTTAAAACATGTAATGCATGATAACTAGTAATATTTATTCAAAAATAGCTAAAACAAAGTAATAAGAAATATAAATTCCCCTGTTACCTCAACCCTTTGGTACTAAAAGGGTTCCCCTTGTACAAATGGGGCTCGGCTTGTTCCTTACTTCTCAATAAGTTCCACCAACAATTTTCTACAACATATAAGTGATCCACATCACTTATCATGACAAATAGTATTAATGAAGACTATAACTTATACCACACAACTTAGGTCAATGAGTCATAATCCACCCTAATGGTCCATATATTAAACCAACCATTCACATAGTATCACTTAACCACCAAAACCATTTATTAACCATCACTAGGCTAATTTTCAATTTATATAATTTTTTTAATCAATTAAAAACCTTTACTTAGTGCCACCAACTTTCACCATTAGCCCTTATAATGAAAACCAAACCTTAATTTAAATCTTATTGGGCTCAAATAGCAAAATTATAACTAAATCAATAGGCTTAAACCATTGAGGAGCAAAAACCTAATTTCTCAAGGTTTATTTTGTGCCCAAAACACCTCTTTTCATCCAATTATTCACTCAAAACATTAAATCACTATATAGAAACTTCAAAACATGCTCCCTAGAATCCAAAGAAACAAAAGCTTACAAGAATAAAGCCTTTGGGATCAAAATCCAAAAATTTCCTCTTCCAAAAATTGAAGAAAATCAAGAGAAAGAGAAGAGGATTGAAGTAGGGAGTTTATCTATCGTGTAGCCGAGCTCGCAACGGTCGCAAAGACTCCTAGATCCAAGCCTAACTCCCTCCCTTTCTCTTCTCTTCTTCCTCTCTCTCTCTCTCCCGTTTGTGCGTTTGCTTCCTTTCTCATTTTCTCTGCGTTTCTGCATCAGTTTGCTCCTTAAAATGCTGGTCAAAAACTTTGGGGAAAATTACAAGAAAGGGCCCAACATTTTTTATTATTGCACAAAAGCCCGGGTCAACTTTGGTAATTTTTCCCATAGTTAAAAATCAAATAAAACCAAACTTTTGTTTAGTAAAATTCGAACTCTGGGCCTCTATTAAATTATTCTAAATTTTAATTTAATTATAGATATTTTATTTTATTTTTTGTTTATTTTTTTTAAATAAATTTGAGTCTTAAAATTTTTTTTAGGATGTTACATTCATCATGTTTTACTACCCCTCAAACCACCTCTTGAGCAACTTCAACTGAGTCTATGGGTGTAAGCTCAGGAGTGGCGGCAGCTTGAAAGGGGACCATTTGGAGATTGAGGTGCTAGGTTTCCTTTTCCCCTTAGTGAATCGGACTCACTCTGCTATCAACAGAGTCTGCTGATAAGATCATCATCCGTTGGCACTTATATATGCACCTCCCCTTTTGAGGTATGGGGCTGATCTAGAGGGGGTAGAGGCAGGTTAGTCAAGGGATAGGGGCATTGTCTTCTTTCTCCTCTTACCCTCAAGAGAGGGAGATGGAGCTCGCTTTCTCTTATCTAGAATATCTCCTTAGTCGGGGCGATTAGAGGAGCTCTTTTTGGCCCCAGACTTTTTAGAGACTGAGAGAATAGAAATTTGGGAGAAAGCATCGTCTTGCTCTATCCCGTGAACCACGGTCCTCACGGAAGCAGCCGTTGGGGTCTTGGAAGTGGCAAGGGCATTAATGTTGCCCCTTAAAAGGGTTACCAATGTATGGGACTGTGTCCAATCACGGCCTACATAAAACAAGGCAGGTTTAGTCTAAGGAAACAAAATGAAAAGGATAAAACTAAGATAGATGCAGAGGAAGTACTTATTGGTATGGCTTTTTATTATGCACCTAAAGCACTTGGGCCACCATTTGTTGAAGCGGAGGCAAGCATCTCTATCTACAAGTTCCACCTTGCACTACCTCTAAGTGGTAAGTGGAACGGCTATCTGATCAATAGCCTCCTGGTCTACCAACTCCACGATGATTTGAGGGGACAAGCCTCATGGGATGCACTGGCTAAGTCTAAACTGGCCCGCCACTAGTTGAGGATGATAAGACTCTAAGTATACTCTGAGAGACTTAGAGGAAGAGCCAGTATACAGCAGCCACATCTTCTGGGGAGTGGTGGCTGAGAGGAAGACCTCGTCCCTTAGAGGATTGGAGGGCTTATTCTTCTTTTCCACTATATACTTGTACCAAGTGGGAAGGCAATGGTCAGGGATGTTGAAAGCTTTTAAGGTCCTCCCCAAGGACCAGCTTTGTTGATAAAAGAACTCGAAGAAGTTCTTCAACTACACCAGTGGATGACTACCCAAAAGACAAGTGAAGGGGTGGTTGGCAGGGGAATCATCTGGGAAGTGCTCCACCAAAGGTTGGGGAAGTAAGCCATCGTCCATAGCTTTAAAAACCAAACAGGCCTATGGAAGTTGCTGAAGGGCTTCTTAAGCAGCAACTCCCTCATGCCGTCAAAGAGATGGTATCAGAATATAGTCCCTAGGGCTATTTAGTTGCCATAGAGAAGGGACTAGACAATCCTTAAATGCAGCTGTACAGCCTTCCCTCCTCCCAAGGCCAAGATCCATTGGCTTAGTAGGATCCAGATGAAGACCAGGTGCTCCGTGGCAGTAACAAGCTTGAAGGCTAACTTTTCTAAGAACAGTTTTATAATCTTTGTATAGGAGCCTGCGCCCTTGATCCTATTCTCCAAACCAGCAGGAAGAGTAGTATTGGAATCGTGCTTCTTGAGGATTGCGTAGAAGTTCTCCTCCCCGGTGATGGGCAGCCCCAAGAACATGAAGACGTCCCATAGCGTGAGGGATATCGGGCTGAGCTCAAAGATGAAAGCATTGCAGCCTAGAGCCCAGAAGCTGAGGAGAGCTATCAGAAGGTCTATGGGGACGTCAACATTGGCTAGAGATAGTTGAATCAGGTCGTATAGACCCATCTCCTTCCATTGAGGTGCATGATCTGACTTCAAACGCTTCACCCAGTTGACCCAAGCATGAGGGGACCGGGGCCAGTTCTTAAGCTTTCTGTAGGATGACTCAGGGAAGGGCGAGGTCATTTGGGCTAAGACCAGATTGCGAAGAGAGGTCAGTGGCCATGGGTTCGACTGCGTAGGGGCATTTACATCAGATAGGTCGAGAGAAATTGTCAGGTACCTGACATCGCTTTTGTTGGAGATTTGGAAACTCTAAGGCAAAGTGCTAGACAAAAAGGAAGCACAGTTAGAGCTAAAATAGAAGGGCGAGACATGAGAAGCGAGAAACTTACCAGAAGGCCGCTGATTCGTGGAATGACGAACTCTCTTGAAAAAAGAAATGAACAAGAAATAGGATAGGAAACCAGGTCAATGGAAAAAAAGGTTTTTTCAGACCACAAAATGCATACCGTTATAAGCCCACCTAATTGGTTCATCGGGTTACGGATAGTTGCCAGAAAATCTGGCTGACTACTAATTGAAGTAGAGGAAGGGGCAACGACAAAAGAAGCAGATGAAGCCATTTGAGAATTAAGTTAGGAAAGGATTTTAGCAGACTAAAGACTTAAAGTTCAAGAAATGGCAAAGAAAGTAAGAGAAGTGACCAGAGCCCGGAAATAAGTTTATATCGTAGAGGGCATTCAAAAATGAAGCAACGTTTCAATTTTTTCAAACATGCCATATGGCTTATGTTGCTAGCCATTGGCATACATGGGGAATTTTTAAGCTAAATATAAAATGTCACTCAAATAGGTCACAAGGCTAGTTGGGCTAGGTAGTTGAAGCGTCAAGCCCAATATAAACTAAAGAGGCTAGCCCCGAAGCTCAATAAAGTCCACCACAAATAAACATGTTGAGATCCTGACAGCATCAAATATTAGATCGTTGACATGAAGACACGATCCTAAGTAATGCCGAAATCTATGCCCAAATAGTATAGTGAAACGGGCTATCTTTCAAAATGGAAAGACCGTGCTGTAAGTTTCGTGAGATTCTTGATTCTTCAGTAGAACATGCTAAGTCTCAAAGAAATGGCTTTTGCTATCAGACACTATAAATAGAAATAAGGAAAAAATAGAGAATCCAGTCAGCACTCGATCAAGACTTGCATAATTTACATTTACTAGCCCTTTTCAATTCTTAATTTTTAGTCTGTAATTTTCAAACACTTCAATAGAATTACACACTTGTTCCACCAAAGGCTACTATCTTTTTACATCTGAGTGAACTATAGTAAGGGAACTCGAGACCCTCTCGTTATCTATTGAGACTTATCGTCTCTAGCACGTCTGGTATTTGTTGTTCAACCACGAACAAGTATTGATAATATAAATTTATTATAAAATAAATGATATATAAAAGATATGCAAACTTTGATTTAATTGAAAATAAATATCTTAATATACAATAAAGTTCTAATATATATTATCCTCAGGATGAAAAGACCAAAAGAACCACCATTGACGCATAAAAGTATAAAGGGTATATATGTAATTGATGGGAAGACGAGAAAGGACTAAAAGCTGAATATATAATAGATTTAGATAGTTTTTTTTAACCAGAAATAGATTTAGATAGATGGACTTTACCATTAGCCCAAGAGGGATAAATGGACTTAACCTAAAAACAAATGGAGTTCATGACTAGCCCCAACCTGAAAATAAACTACATATAGGCAAGGCCAATCCATCATCATTACTTTATTAGAAAAAGATAAATATGACTCCTGCATCTTAAATACATTGATTATTTTTAATCATAACCCTAATGTATTAAACCAAGACACACGTTGAACACATCCAAATCAAGTAACATTTCATTTTCATTTCCTTCTTCAAAGCTTTGTGACATTTTAGGGATAACAACACCTGTGCCATCATCATATGAATTTTAGGGGTGATCACCGCTACCAAGAACTCCATATGCCGGGTACAATTGCTCGCCATCATGAACTTCATGAGGCCTATCTACAGGTCCATAAAATAAAATAAGACCGATCAAAAAAATAAGTTCTCCAATCCGACGAAGAAGCAGAATGCGATTTCCAAGAGGAAAATATCCTAAAAGGAAAAGAAGTAGGATGAAGGAAATGAAAATAAATGAAATGACTTTCACAAGATCTCCAAGCAAAGCATTATTGCCAATAACCAAATATATGGCAGCCATAAATGCCACTGGCATGGTTCTAAGAGCCAAGTGCGCAAAAAGCCTAGCAAGAAAATAAGCTCGTATAGCGTAACGACGATCACCCAGATGCATCCATAGAAGAACAATAGAACCGAAAATGGAGCTATACATGGAGATCGTATTGAAAGCCATGAATTTGAATAGTTTTTTATCAACCAACACTACTATGCCTTTGTTCTTAGGTATTGAATCATTAGAAGAGTAAACCCTACTTGGTACTGTGAAACCAGCTGCGAATGTCACTATTGCTATAAGTACATCCCCAAGGATGAGTGTGTTGGCTGCATAGTTAACATTCCATTCTATATTGGCTACGCATTGTACTCCCAACATATCCTTTCTGAGGGGGACACCTGTTGTTCTTAATATCATACTTGCTCGACACTATGTGGTAATCAAATGAAACAAGTAAATGTTGATGACTTTCTAAAGTCTTCCATAAAAATGGAATCATCTAGAGTTAAAACTTTTAAGAAAATACTTCAAGAGAAATAATGGATTGATAAATATACCTCTTGATGTGTCATTGGATGTTTAGCCTGCATCAAAACAATATCTCTAGCGTTTAAGCCTTTGTCATTTACAAGGTTCGCATTTGTCCTTTTATCTTATGATAGATGGAGCAGTGTCCAAAGATACAATTTTCTTGAAGCCAAATGCAATGGCGCATCTCCATCTAGGTCTTTCTCATTCACATTTTTAGGATTGATATTTGAGTGTTTTAATAGGAACCTTACCATTTTGTTTTGTCCATTCTCTGCTGCAATGTGTAGAATGTTTTGACCTTTATTATTAAGCCAGAATCTGGTATAAGGACATTCTAAGCGAAGCACTTGTTTAACCACCTGAACACGGCTACTTTGGCAAGCAATGTGAATCAGAAGATCGCCATTTGAGTTTTGTTGAAATGCAACAAGATTAGATTTGTTTAGAAGTTCATGAACACCTTCCACATAACCAATGTATGCTGCATAATGAAGAGGAGTATTTCTGTGTTCATCTCTAAAATACATGAGTCCCTCTTTTTCGTGTAATATATTCTTCAAGAAAGCTACATGTAAAAGCAAACAAACATCTATAATAAATGAAAGCGTGGTGGGACAAACACAAAAGCAGCATTTGATTAAGGATTAAATGGTAAATTGGGCATACATTATATATTTAGGAGTGTCTGAAATCTTAAATTCATTTTTAATGCAATAATAATCTTTTTTAATTTTTGAAAACATTACAATCTAATTCCTTCTATTAACAAAAGTTAAATTTTATTTATAATTCATCAAAAAATGACAAAAAATAACATAAAAAATTATAGAAAAAGATAAAAAAGTTCAATAAAGTACCCAAAAATTTTAACTAATCAACTATATAATAATTAAATTAACTTTTGTTAAAAGTAAAAGGTCAGATTGCACCAATTTCAAAAGTTAAAAGAAACATTACACTAATAAAAAAAAGTTTAATATTACAGACGTTCCTCAATTTATAGTTTAAGCGTCATACCCTTTTATTAATGAATTTGGCATCACACACATGTACATACTAATATTGCTTTCTGATATGGCAGCATGAAGTGGAGAGTTCCCATGACTCTTGTGAATGACCCGGCCTGAGGGAAACGGAATCTGCAAAAGACGATGAAGAATTCTCACATCCTCATCTGCACAGCCACATATATTGGTGATTCAGCTGGGTGAGTGTCCCAATAGAGGGGCCAAGTACTTTCACTTTGTTCACTTAAAAGGAAATTCAGCCCCTCAAGATATTTGCTTAGAATAGTTTCATGCAAAGCTCTCCTCCCAAGTTTATTTGGTAACATAACAAAGTCATCCTTACTGCTAGCATCATCAAATTTGGACAAGATGACTCTCATCACTCCAATATTTTTAGCTCTTGCGGCAACATGAATCGCAGTATCTTTCCTATTGTTTGTCACTACTAGCGAAAAATTGTTATCGACAAGCAGCTCTACGATCCTTTCTCTCCCATATTCAGCCGCAACATGAAGCAAAGAATCACCCGTAGGAGTGGCTTGATGCAAAACAGTGGAACAATCAATTTGTTTCTCTCTACATAATTCCTCTAAACATCCAAAAATTATTTACATCATTCTTATTATTACGAACAGCGTTGTACAACTCATGACTCATGGTATCTTCAATAAGGCCAATTGGAATTTGATTATCTGATGCACTAAACCACTTCTTTATCAGTTCCTGCAGCTTTTCATAGCATGGCGTCTTCCAGTTTGAATTCTTCGCTTCCATAGGAATTTCCACCTGGTTCGAATTTCTCGTAGTAGAAGTAAGATGATGCTAAAGGATCCTGCAGCAAGGAATGGAAAAAACACGATGTGCAATTAGAAGAGTAGCAAGAGAAGAAATAGACTTGAAAGAGATAAAACAACTCAAGAACAAGAGTTTTAAAGCTGAGGAACAAGAAGAAATGGAAATGATCGAGATCCGTGAAGAAGATGCAGGAGCAGCTAGCTGCAAGAGACAAAGCGAAACATGTGTTTCAATCAGATTTGTAAGTTAGAAACTCACAGAGAAAAAAAAAAAAAAAAAGAGTGGTTATAGAATAAGGGATGCTGATGTTGAAGAAGTTGACGAAGGACAGATAAAGATACACTGAGGTTGGTAGCATTGTAACCAAAGCCAGAAGGCAAGAGTAATGCTAAAGTATTAATATATATTATAAAATGCGGTGTCTTGATCACATGATTATGTCTTCTGAATTGCTTTAAGATAACATAATTCATGTCACGCCCGGTCAGTTATGGGCTATTAATTATATATTTGTTTAATATTATCCCTATTTGGATTTATTAATTATGTGAAAAAAACATAATATAAATTTGAAATTTTTTTATTTGAATAAGGGTAAAACTGGTTGGGAAAAAAAAAGAACATGGATACAATTGAAATTTTATTCTATTTTTAAATAAAATTAATAATCTAATCATCTCTAATTGTGTCATGCTCCAAAAATAGAAGGCAAATGGCATGACATGCAAATATATCACACATCCCTTAAGCTTCAAAGTGAGAAATTTTTCAATTTTCAAAACATAGTTTGATTTATATTAAAATTATGACATTGTTAATAGTATTTGTTATAATGAAAGTTTTAATATTTTTATAAAAATTTTGGCAAAACCTTCCCTATAGATAGGATTTCTAGAAATCTCTATAACTAAAAAATATTACTATATGCAACCAACAGTTTGGAATTATGTTTCCTAGCAACAGATGGTCAACATAAAAATAAAATTAGAATCCTGTCTATAGTTAACGTGAAACATTAAAACATAAATCTCAAAATAAAACATATAATTAAATATTTACATAAAAAGAAAAGGCATTTCTAAAGATAAATATTCACCCAGCACAATTGTAATCCCTCAATGATTGGTAAGAGGTCCAGCATTAGCTAATGTTTCTGAGATCAAAATATTTTTCAATGAATAACATCCTCAATAATACAATTTAAAAATAAAAGTAATAAACTCAAGCAATTATATAAAATAATTGAAAGAAGAATATTTAGTATAATAAAAAAATAGTTCAATATAACAAACTTTATCTTAAATCATAATCATAACAATAAAATAAGAGTGAACTAAAATTATTTAATTTCATCATGCTTGAGGAAACAAATGATTCATATGTGAATGGAAATGGTACATTTACTAACTAAACCATTAAAATTTTAAATACACAAGCTAATTAAAATTCAAAATTTTGAGGACTTAACAGAACAAGTAACAAATATGGATACACAGTCCACGAGGATAAAATAACCAGATGTGGCTTATGCCATGAAATAGATGTGGACACAGAGTCCATGAAAGTATATAACCAGATGTGGCCAAAGCAGGTGCAAGGATCACAAATAACAAACGTGAGAACAGAGCTCATGAAAATTAAACTAGCTAGTCATTGATTAAGGTGCGCCAAGGGCTAATGGAACTTCTGTTAGCAACAATGTTCTACTTAAAGTTCTCTCAAAATCATTTTTCACATATGCTAGAAAAATAGTCATTTCTAAAATATAATTTTTTATTCTCAACATCAAACTCATATGAATCACCTTAATCTTCAATTCAAAACCCATCAAAATAAAATTTCATAAATAAGGTCTATTATTGCATTTGTTGAGTGGTCAAAAATTTTCAAAATTAAATAGATAAGGAGGCCTTCATCAATCTTAAAAGTATATCTCTTAAGAAAAATATTAACACAAATCATAATTCAATTATCCCTTAACATTATTATATAATCTCAAAAAAATAAAATAATTTAATTAACAAGGTAACCAACATATATCAGAGTTGTTAATAAGAATAATACATAAAAATGTAATAGTTTCAACAAAAGACTTTTATTGGTAAGTAAATTGGAGTGATATTCACTTACCTATTAAATTTCAAAATTCAATTATATATTTTTCTCCCCCAATTCTTATTAAGGTACTCATATTCCACACATCCTATAAGAATATATGTAAATGAAACTTTAATTTACCTCCTTTAGTTATATAAACTTCATTCCACTAGCAATACAATTCCAACCAATTGCAAGTATTCAAAATTCCAAAAAAACCAAAATTCATACCTTAATGATTTCTCAATCATCATCACTTACCACCAATTTATCTCATAACACTTTAATCATGATAACTATTTAAATGAGATATGGTTTTCTTATACCTTATGTCATACACCTTGTGTGCAAAATTTCCAAACTATATAATAAAACTTTTTAATCAATCGCTTCTTGCCCAACAAATTTTCAAATACTCATAATTAAATTTATTATGTTTCTTTTATCCATTTTCTCAAACACATTAAATGCATTCTCAAGATCAAATAATAAAACAGCACCATAGTTATAAATTTATAAATTACACAATATAAAAGTTTCAAAAATCCAACTAAATAAAATTTGAATCAATGCCTCTCATAACAATCAATAGAATTTCAAAAAAATTCAAACTCAAGCAAGACTCTTCTAACAAACATTTTCTCAAACACCTTAGGAACATTAATCCTTAAATTAATATTAATCTATTCCTCTTTAATTTTACTTTTCTAAAATTTTACAATTCAGCATTATAATTAATAATCCTATCAAATTCGATTAAAACTTAACCCACGCCAACATCTTCATCTTCATCTTCTTCTTCTTTTTACAGCCACAATTCCCAACTTAAATCAAACTTCCCCTTCCTATACACTTATATATATGGTCACGTACAGCAGCAGTAAAGGAAAGAATTTTTCAACTTCAATCATCTAGTCACACGCCACTCACATAGGCTGAACATGGAAGAGAGTTTGAAGCCCTTTTCCATTACAGCAACAATCTCTTCAACACACACACAGAGGACCGAGAAAGGAGGAAGAGATTTGTAAATCCTTAGCTCTGATCAATAATAATGAGAGCTGGGAAACAAAACGCTGCTGCTGAATAAGGAAAAGATGATGATGAGTGTTCATTAGAGACGTGGCGAAAGCAGGGATGACAGAGGAGAAGCGGATGGCAGCGAGAAGGATGCAGAATCAACAGTCAAATAAGGACCCACGACTTGCAGCTAGACCACTGCACCTGCTTGCGTTGCCGCGATCTGAACAGTGGTGGAAGGAGGCTAGAGAGGATGAGCACTCTCCCTCTTTCTTGGATCTAGAATTTTCAAAAATGAGAGAGAAGCGCCACTGTCGGTGAAGGAGAAAGAAAGATGCCAAATATTGTCTGTTTTTTCGCACGAATAAAGATAAAAAATCTGATCAAAAAAATTTAAAAAAATTACAAAAAAGAGCATAAAAATATTATAATAAAAAGTACAAGAAAGATTACAAGAAATAATACAAAATTTATTTATAATTTAAAATAAAATAAAACTGAATTTTTACTTAGTGAAATTCGAACTTTAGACCTTTAAAAAAAATTATTGAAGAAATTTTAATAATTTACCACTCTTTAATTGTTATAAAATTAATTTAAAATTTAAGATCATTAATGGCGATCAGATAATTAAAGGCGTATTATAATAAAACTGGATGGATGGAGTACAAATTACAAAGACCTCGGCGATATCCTATGGTCTTCTTATTTGATATATATATATATATATATATATTTTTTTTTTTTTTTTAAGCCGAAGGTCTTAATTATTTAATTTGGATACACTTTCCCGAAAGTATTCTTATTTCCTTCCTTTTTTTGCTTGCCCATAAGTTAAAAGCCACGCCTATCTCATCTGTAAGAAGATTAAAAGGCTCTTTATACAAGGACGTGCGATAACCTCGTCCAAAAATGTATATTATGAAAATTCGAATTAACCTATCTAGCTAAATAAGTAAATCATTAAACAAGTATTTTAACTGATTTAATAAAATATTTTGTTTATGATTGGTCTATGATAATCGTAGTTTGATTATAATTTTAATTATTAACCATTAAATTAATATCTTGGCCAGTCTATTTTTCAATTCCTTGCCAAAATGTAAAAGTATTCCTTAAAAGTCAAAGTCACACTTATCTTCTCATCCGTTAGAAAATTAAAAGGCTATTTATAAGGACGTTTGAAATCCTACTTCAAAATATGAAAGTGTTTCTTGTATCATAAAAATGATACCATCATCACATGATTACTAAAAACTTCATGTTAATTACTCTAAGAATTAAAGTCAGGAAAAAGTGCCAAGCTTGTCAGGCCAACTCATATAATAGTAGGGCTAGTTTATAAATATAACTCCAAAATAGTAAATCGGACCCGTTTAAGTCTGTTTAATTTAGAGCTTAAACAGGTTGGACCTGCAGGACTAAGGGCCAGCCCATTTAAGCCCACATATACATATTTTTTAATTAATTTTTATGACTTTGACTCTTCTTAGATTGGAAAAAAATTAAACTAAATCTTACTCCACATCATATGTCAACCCATGTCTGTTGAGGACGGAAGGAAAAAAAAAAGGAAAAATAGCAATGAAGAATCACTTATCAAAATTTATATCAGTCAAAGATTACTTGTTATTAAAATCCCAATGGATACTTGTGGATTCAAGTTAGCCTTTATCAATAAGTATTTATTCAAGTTTTAATAACAACTTATTTTAGATTAACAATAGTTCATTCTAGCATGTTTTTTTTTTCAGGTTTGACAACAACTGGTCCTTGATTGATATAAATTTCATATAGAAATCCTTGGTTTCTATTAAAAAAAAATAACTTTAAATCTCCTAATTGATCTAGATTCACGATAA